GAATGGATTCAAACGATTCTTTAGTATTTCAGTTTCTATCTGATTAAATTTTACGACAGGCAAACGCGTTTGACAAGGTTTTAATTGAAATGAAACATACGCAGGCACTATTGAGAAATCCAACTTAAACTCTTGCGCGCCTGGTGGCAGGAATAAGCACTAACGGACGGTGATAAGTCTGTGACAGCCAAGGGGTAAGTCACTCAGCACATTGTGCCGAAATTAGATTCGGCACAGCTTAGGCACATCCATCGGCACACCTTCGGCAGATCTTCGGCAAATCTTCGGCACAATCTCATAGGCATTGGATTGTGGGGAATAAAATGGGAGCTGTCCAGCAGTGCTGCCATTGAAGTGGTTCACAACATTACGTGTTGTTTGACTGCATGTTCAGGAACATCCTCTAATTGAATATACCAAAGAAACTCAGACCAGCAGTTCAATTATAGATCTTAATACGAAATATAGGTTCTAGAGTGGGCTCAAGAGAAAGAGGCAGTAAATCAGACCCAATTAGTAACCTTAATTCAAATAATGCTACAACTCACACAAAACAAACTACAGAAGTCTATTCATCATCCTACATAGTCGGTCTCCAACAATGTTCCCCTGAGTGTTCCCAACCGGTTCAAACTCTTTTCAGCCGCTGATAGACCGTTGCTTTTTACATCACGAAAGGCTAGGTTTCTGCGCTGCCTTTGATGGCATTATAAAACTCTAAAACGCAGGACTTTTATTATCCTATGAACGCAAAACACCAAAATTTCGCACACTCCCCATTTCCTGCGTCATCCTCAATCCGATTTATCCTTGCTTTCAAACCATAACATTCAAGCTGTCAGAAATACCGGGTTGCCGGGATGGGTATTTTACAAACGATCACAGCTTGCTCTATGACCGGCACAATCGGCTTACTTGCGGCACACTGACAAAAAAGATGACCCAAGATTGGTGTGCGGAGTGACCTACCCCTTGGTGACAGCCCTTAACAATTTAATTAATTGTTTGCAAAATTATTTAATTTCAATGTAATTTCATGAAAATTTCTTGTCAGCATGGATGAATCTTGTACAAAATGCATAAAACTATTTTGTAATGCAAAAAGCTACTTCAAGACTTATACATTACTGAAAACATGTTAAGGTTTGAAATCATCTGCCGATCAAACAGCAGACAAAGTTGGCCGACAATTGCTCGGTGTAGCACCAGACGAAAAGCGATTCAATCTGCTGATTAATACACCGACTGAAATTAACTTTTAAGTGGCCATAGATTCAGTCGGTGGACGAATTGGGTGATTTGGATAATGTTTATTTATTTGGAAGATATTTTCGAAACAAAGCTCGGTAAAATTCAGCATTATATATCATTATTACAAGGAGGGGGAGGAGTGGCATAGTGAGCATCCCGCAGCTTGGCTCTGGATCTTCAGCTACATGAAACATATCAACTGGTAGTAGGTTCAATATCATTATAATATTGATCCTACCACCAACCAAATTGTTCCGAACGGCCGGAAGCTGATGCACGGGATTCTCACTATGCCCCACCTGTTCACTATGCCCCTCTTACCCCTACTTCTTTTTTGCTCGGATCATGTTTCGACTTCCACAGAAACTCGCTTGAATAAATAGAAAATAATAGTTTTTTTAATTAAAAAATCAAAAATGTACTCAGTTTGACACATCATTTCGGACTTATCACCGCTGCGACTGCAGCGTCACGGTGGTCGATTGAAACTTGGATTTGTCAATAAACTGTTGCGGATTTAGAGTTGCCGATAATAGAACATCTGTCTAGCATTTAGTTCAAATGGAAGGGTTGCCGAATCAAAACAGGTTGCCGACAGTAGTCACATTCAGCTGAGATGTTTGAAGCGCTGTAAAAGTGCTTTAAAAGAATTTTGATCAATTCTTACAACCACAAATGACAGATTAATGCTACCAAACAAGCATTGCATATGTGTGCGTTACGTTGAGAAAGTACCGGCATCACTGTTTAGATTGAGAAGGGAAAGAAGGAGGAAACGAAATCATTCATTCGCTCACGGAGAGGCAATCCACGGCTTGCTACGCTTTTGCTCGCTCTTTCGGATATCTAGCAATATCACACAGTCAAAAAGTTCTCTACCACCGAAACTGACGTTGATTTTCATTTGAGGAAATCGTTGATGAGACAAGAATGTTATTAATTGATTTAAAACAGTGCGTTCGTGGTTAACGCTACGGACCGTTGAATGAACTGCCATTACATTTGTAGTAAGAAACGTACATAGGGGATGTTAGAAATTCACACTTACATTTGATGTACATGTAAGTTTTGTTTGCGTGTAGCATTAAAGGATATTTTCGGAAATGTCCTTTAGTTTTGAGACTAATTTATAGATAGGAGAGAAATCATACTAAGCGTGCGTCTCAAGAACAAAGCTAAAACCAATGTGTTTGCTTAATTTGACTGTGTAAGACTGCTAGTAAAAGCTCTGAATGAATGATTTGTTTTAGAAATGATTCACGATTCAAGTGACTGTGAAATTTGTTGGATCTCAATAATTTTCATCAAATTCTCCATTTGTTATTTTACAATTTCAAAATTTCAACTATTCTAACTTTGAAAAGTTTTCAGAGAAATAATCCAAATAGTTTCACTGATCATGACTCGGTAATCATTTGCTAGAAACTCCTGCTTTTCAAGAGTTTTCGAGCTGAATAGTTTTGTAAAAGTGGAATTCACTTCTTGACTTCATTGAATGCTCTTAATCATTTTCATTATATTAATACGTGCTTCCTCTTATGTAAAGAAATCTTCAAGCTCTTGGGGACGTTCCCGGCGTAGCTCGCGGACAAGTCACGAATGACCTAAACGGTGTGTCAACCAAAGGCTTGATAGAACCTCGTTCGTGAGCCTAAAATGAGCAGAGATTTATTATTTTGAGAAGTTGAACTATGCCTCACAAATATTCCCAAGGCACACACACAAAAGTCATCATTGTCATGTTCTCTTCCATCTGATCTCACTCTCACTACAGAATGAACTTTTAAATGCCACGAATTTGATCCATTGCGGCAAATCTAACAGCTTAACAATAGCTGTCGGTTTACCGTAACGGATCCGGATGCATTCTGCGTGCTAGATGGATGTGGTCAAGTCCTCATGGTCCGCTAGTATTGGTGAGTTATTTGCCGTTAATGCTTATGAAAAGTTCATTTTTTTTGCCATAAATAGTGCCGGGCGGATTTGGACAGATTTGACTTGTTTCATACGACCGATTTGCTCGTCACAAATGAATTTCACGAATAAACACGAGGAGGATTGATTATATCAAAACTTGCCACATAAAATCGTTATAGCTCATTTTAGTAAACAAACGTACACTTCTTTCTAATGTGGCACCTTTGTATTAGGCGCCGACACGAACAAAGTGTGTTCCTCGCTCAATCATCGTATGAATTCGCTCTTCCATTCTTTCGCTGATTTTTTGAATAATTCATTCCTATCTCTGCCACCACTCACTTTGAGTGAGGGCTGCCTGACTCACAGGGCAAAAGAGTATTTTCTGAACTCCTGAGCATTTGAAGAGTTCCATCAACCTTGCTTTGTTTATTTTTAGTGGGCATCTATCTCTTCACTTATGTGAGAATCGATGGTCCCAAAGCACTTTCAATATTCATGAAAATCTCCCTTTATCTTTAATTATCAGCCACATTTGTCACGAAAATGAACCACCGCTAGCACGCACGTTTTAGCTCCAACACTTTTGGATTCCTAGAGATGCGTATAAGCTCTGATATTGAACGGATTTTCTCAGAGTGTAAAATTATTGACTGATTACGCTGAGTGTGAAAGCACTGCACTATTCAATCAATTGCTCTGTGCAGAACGTTTGTACCAAACGGTAAAGGACGAGTCAATGAAAGAGCCAACAAAAACATTCAGTCACTCACGAACAGGTGACTCACACCGCTTCCCTTCGCTCACACAGCATGTAATTAGGTCATTTTTCCATAGAAAATGTACGCTCAGTCATTCAAAGCAAGTATTGAGTACCACCACGGCAGAATAAACGTGCTGATTGAGCTACTGACTGAGTGCTCGGCTGTCAGTGACTCGTTTACCTCTTAATCATTCAGACTCTCACTAGGCAGATGGCAGTTCATATTCATACGAAAATAACTCAATGAACCTGACTGTTTTGCGCACTGGATTTTCCACGCATGGTTCCTTTTTACCTCTATAATGATGCGAAAAATAAACGTTTCATTCTTTCGAAGAGATTTCAGTTTCTAAAAGATAACACACGAGTCTATACAGATTTATGACATTCTCCATTTTCACGTCCATGGCTGCTTGAAATAGCAAACGAATGAAATTTCAAGTCCTACTATAAATACAAGCTGCTATTTGTACACACTGTAAAACAAAAATACTTGAACATATTCCCCTTTTTACCCATTGAGAATTGCATATTTGTGAAATCGGTGACAGTTATTCTGAGCAGCCCTGTATTCGTAATGATTCCAAAAGTTTCCTTTAAATTTTCTGTTTTTTTGACTATGTCCTTTGTTTAGTGTAAAACATCTGTATACCACACTGAAAATAATTTTTTGTTAAACCGTGCATTATGTTATGCTTTGAAAGCGGTACACATCACATCTTGGCTGTGAAATTATACACAGACCTTGGAAACCGTTAAAATGTTGCCGTATATCTAATGTTTTGTTACTTTGTACGGAAAATTAAACCAAACACGCAAACCGTTTGTTGAAATAGTCGAATTCACTCTTTTCGAGGCCTAAACTGCTCGTCGTCGCAACCAAAAACGATTGGGTTCAATGTAGCAAATTGTAAACGATCGCATTGTTCTTTCATCTAAACTAACCTGGGAATTTCGCTTTTCAATGGGCACTTGTTATCACTCGAAAACCGACTATTGTGTTATATACCATGCAAACTAACGAAACCGTTCTAACTGTTTTCGTTTTTTTCCCCCCCTTTTCTTCCAGGCAATTCTTGGCTGCCTCTGTGCCACATTAGTTCTAGCGGATGAACCGGTCGCAGTGCGCGAGAAGCGCAGTCCGGCTCCATTCTTCTTCAACAAGGGCCACGACGATCACCACCATGAGCCGAAGTGCGTGTGGGAAAAGAAACTAGCCTGGAAGGAGGACTGGAAGAAGGTCTGGGAAACGAAGAAGGTCGAAGTGTTGAAGTCCGAATGGAAGAAACAGCAGATTCCGGTCTGGAAGAAGGTCGAAGTGCCGATCTGGCGCGAGGTGAAGGTACCCGACTGGAAGATCATCAAGAAACCGTACTGGAAGGAAACCGAGATCCCAGCGTGGAAGGAAGTCCAGGTGCCGGATTGGAAGAAGGTAACGAAACCGATCTGGAAGGAAATTCAGGTTCCAGTGTGGAAGGAAGTCCAGGTGCCGGAATGGAAGCAGATTTGGGTTCCGGATACGGTGAAGGTTGGCATTCCCGGTGAGAAGTACCTGGGCAAGGATGAGTCCGGTTGGGAGTACACGAGCCACGATCTGTGGAAGAAGAAGATGGTCTGGAAGCCACAGTGGAAGAAGGTGTGGAAGACCGAGAAGAAGGAGGAATGGAAGACCGAGAAGAAGCTGGAATGGAAGGATGAGTGGGTTCAGGTGTGGCGCAAGGAGAAGCAACAGATCTGGGTGAAGAAGAAGGAGGAAGCATGGAAGGAGGAGAAGATCGAAATCTGGCGCATTGAGAAGAAGCAGGAGTGGGCTACCGAGAAGAAGCTGGAATGGAAGGATGAGTGGAAAGAAATCAAGGTCCCAGCCTGGAAGGAAATTCAAGTGCCCGCATGGAAGAAGGTGTGGAAGCCAGTTTGGGAGAAGGCTTGCGTCCCAGTCAGCCACGGATGGCATTAGTCGCTGTACCATGTAGTGAATTAGGTTGTTTAAATTTAATTAGTTCCGTACTTTTCTCAGTTAATCAGTTAGGCTATCTCTATGCTATATTGCGTGTACTGTTTGCGACTAATGCGTGCTCGTTCTACTGAGCGAGAGAGACAGAGTGTTGCGCAATGCGCACGTTCCAACTACGACACTTGGGCACACAAGTTCGCAAAAGTATCACTATCTCTTTCTCTGTGTCTTATCTCTGTCAGTGTAGTTTTCCTCTATTACATCCAAAGAAACCTAGGAGAAAGAGCTGCACACTAGAGCACCATCGGCGCTCAAATACACTATTTCCTTTTATCAAAGTTACTTCCAGTAGACACCTTTGTGGGCAGGTTGATCACCGTATCTCACGATCAGCGCCGGGCTCATCTTCTCTTCGCGGTGGCGGCAGTGGCATCCAGTTACCAGTTTTTGCTATCTTTATGTAAATACTTTCAGTACAATTAGCGTATTATCTCACACTACTTCTCAGGCCAAAATATTTCCTCCACACACACACACACCCATCGTAGCCCGCCACCAAAGGCATCGCGCTCTGCCGAGTCAATTGTGTAGCACCATTGCACCCCATTGGCGCTACCGTAAATGAGAGGATGAGATAATAATTTCCTATATTTGTTTGCAATGAAAAGCTATTAACCGTTTTTCTCGGCCAATTTCCCATTTTTGTTTCGGCTGCTCGAACAATATCGTCAACAACAGGCACTGACGATGAATAACGGTCCTAATGAAGTTATCGAGTCACGTCATCTGCATTACATTCGGCAAAGATAGACAGACGTCGAGATGATTACGATGCGAGGTGGATTCGTTTCGGTTGTTGGTAATTTTTCCCTGCGGATGTCCGTTTCAAGATGGAACCCGATCCTACGAATTTGCAGAGAACTGGAGGATTGTTTTTCATTTTTTTTTTTTCTGTGGCCATTTGATTCAAAATGGTCCTAAATGATAAGATTGATCATCCACTGGATTACGTTATGTGATCAATTTCACTCAAGCCAACATCGGAAGTGACCAATTGGTCCAAGTTGCCTTAATTGGTTATTTCGGGTGCTTCAACACGTGTGGCCAATTTCTCATAGTCATGTTCGGAAGAGATGAGTCTATTTTGTTATTTTGCTCGAATTAATGATAAAACTAAAACTGAAATTTTAGATAATCAAAGTTAAGACAGTGAAAATTGATCATATTGGCCACGATTGGATCGGTTAGACGTGTTAAATTTCACCCAGTGCATCATTAGAATTATTCCGGTAATGACCAATCCGACTGAGATTAATCAACTGTTGATCAGATAAATGTTTTTTTTTTATAACTTAAATTTACGTAGAGAGATTGCAGTTTGATCATGCTAATTTCTGTAGCCAGTTCAACTAGCCAGTTACGAACTATTGCATTAATTTGAATATTTTCTCCAATTTACTATCAGAAATTCTCCTAACAGTCGAACCTTAAATTACCGATAGTCGAAACGCGGATAATCGCATCGACCCTGCATCTGAATCATAAATTAACTGGATGACCATATCGAAGCCAGCTTTCATAATTTGGTGAGTGAATAGCTCGTTAGGCCAAACCGTTCACCGGCGGAGCTCCTCTGTCCCGCCGTTAAGTGGGCAATCGCTTGCGCGTCAATGAAAAACGTCTCGTAATCCCTTCGGTACGAATTACCATCTCCGAAACGTGTCAATTAACTGCCATCGTTTGACGACACGTTTGGGCTCGTGCATTTATTCTCGTTCGAGATATCGGCTACCCACCATCATGTTGAACAAGGGCCCAAGCGACGACGAAGGGTATCGAACCATAAATCCACTGGCATACAGACCATGTTTCCCATGCATTTGATTTCCCTCGCCCTCGGCGCGGGGGCATCGGTGAAAACTGAGTCATGTTATGAGCGGTGAAATAATTCCGCGATAAGCGATGGAAGCCCCTTTCGGAATGAAAGGGAACTTTTGCCTTTTAATTCACTCACTTCCAACTCGTGGCTTTAAAACCGGCTGATATGGCATCGCAATGGGTGCACAAAATCCGGAAGCATCCGTTACGGAACCAAACACAAACACACTCTTCGCTTCACTCCATATCGGTGGTGAGGAAGACGCGAAGCGGAAAAAATGGGAAAGAGGCTGGAAAATCGCACTTGTTTGAAAAACCTAGCCCCGAACCGAAAGTGTGAGGATGAGCGAGGAAATGAGACGAGCGACGCCGTCTGCCAGTTGATAACGAGCAGGCGGTGCGTATTGAAGAGCAAAAAAATAAATGACTTACTGCTGAGGGTCTAGTTTATCGCATACACTCGAACAACATCCGAGAAAACAGCGATAGCGAAAGTGGAGTAACTCTAGTTTATGATTTATTTTTGTATATTTTCATACAAAAAGAAAATTATAAATAATGTATTTAACAACGAAAAATGCGGAGGAACTGTCTGATGTAACACACACACACACTCTTATGATTTTGATTTTGATTTTACACTTCCTTTAGATACTGTCGAGATTTTGTTAATTCTGTGTTTTTATAATTTCCTCGAGACGAATTCAATTTTTGCGAACGAAAGTTGTTAAAAGAAAATTTGTACATATTAAATATTAATGAGTTAATTAATGTTGTAAATAGGCTTTCAGAAAAAAACGTTGCGAACAAGTCATAAAAATAAACTTAATGAAAAAAATAAAAAAAAACATGCGCATTTCCTGAGCTGAACATTGATGACCTTTTCCTGATTGTCCTCTCTCTCTCTGTGTGTTGTCAACTTCCGTCAAAACCATATCAAACATCTCCATATGCCAACAGAAAAAGCCTACAAGCCTACTGAGTCGAATTGAGTTTCCCATGTATGTATGTGACAACTAGCCTAAATTAGCGCATGCTGTGACCAAACCTTCCACAACTTCCCATCCTACCAAATCGCGCGCTCCTACAGCATCCGCGGAATGAAACAAGAGCACCAACAACACTCAGTCGACTGATATAACCTGCGAATAATGGATAGAAGTAGGTATCCAAGATGTGGTAATGAAAAAAACCAAAACAACATCTCCAAGAAAATAGCGAAGAGCGCGCAGTGCGTAACGTAATCCATTTCCGCTGTCCGTCGCGTGGTGGTCGGCGGTTCGAGGTGTTATGCTGCTGAAGCTCAGTGTGCAAAGCGGTATGCTGGGACTCATGGGTTTATGCGGTTGAGCTTACTTATGGTGTGGAATGTACTTTTACTTTTATTCCCACGCCGTCCATGCTAAGACGACGACGACGACGACGATGATGACGACGTGAGTGAGGAGAACCGTAAACTTGAAATAGAAGAGTCGGGAAAAATTAAATGAGTCGAGCAACCCGGCCTAGCCAAGCCCTACTAAGTGGCGCGAGATTGGCGCTTATGGCGTGGAACAACGGTTTTGCGTGGCACATATAGAGTGGAAGAATGAAATGGGTAACCGAAGCAATTAAAGCGTGTTTTGACGGTTGAATGTCTGAGGAGCTGAAGACGGGCGTTTTGTGGAATGATATTTTTGTTTTAATTTGAATTTAAAATTATGACAAGTTCACGCCGAAGCATGAATTTAATTGGAAAGCAATTTTTAAGACCCCCAAAAGATGACGAGGTGTTGAAACTGGTCCTTATCTAAACCGGTGTTCGGAAAATGTATGGCACTAGGAGTATGGGCATCCCACTCTAAGCTCTGTATTTCTTGCGATATACTCGAAAAGATCTTACCGATATCTAAGATACCTCCATCCACACCATAGTTATGGCATCCGAAAATCCATATTTCCTGGATTTCGCCCTAAATACCCCTAATTTGGGCCCAGATATAAATTCAGCAATAGGCTAAATTTTCAATAGCGACCAAAAATACAAGGTGGGGTGAAAAGTAACCTCCTTGACCGCCAGAATGCGCTTCTACTGCAATAAAGGTTATGGTGCCTTGAAGTCCGTTCATATTTAGGCACACTCAAAATAATCTACACGTTGAAGCTACGTGAAAAATCACGTAAGCTCTCAATTTTTCCTCTTCTCTCAGTTTTACGTGACTCACGTAGAATGTATGTGATGTCCCTTGAATTTCACATGGAGTTCCTTTTTAACACACCTACATAATCAATGAAATGTACGTGATTTTCCCATAACACTGAGTCTATGTGCGTTTCACGTAAAGCTTATGTGATTTCCGTACACTCAGAGCGCTGCAAATCTTGGCGGGATCATAATGTGCTTTTGTTTGGTATTCGGTAGTGGCAAGATGTAAGTATAACATGATGGATTATTTTATTCTCTTTAACAAAAATAAACTGTCTGTTTCATCGTGCTCAACAGAATGATATCAAGCTGTCCATCAGTTTCTTCCTCTAAGGAAAAAAGTATCTCGGCCCATCTCCATGATCGTCCAGATTGTTTGTGCTGCACATCGAATATTAAAAAAAATCTGATGTGATTACAGTAAAGATTGTATCTACATATTAAGGAAATATTGATACTAGAATCGTCCAATGAATGTCATTGACCAAATCACGTAACTTCTGTGTGATAATACAGTGACGGTTAAGCTTCATGAAATGAGTGCCCCTACATGAAAATCACGTTGCTCTTATGTGAAAAGTACGATGGAAAAAATCTGCGTATGTTTTCACGTAGCATTTACGTGAAAATTATTCTGAGTGCAGACATGCCAAATTTCAGTATGATAGGGTAGAGAACTACTCCGGCCTAATCGCCCATTTTGGGCCTATCGAGCAGAAAACTTCAAATAAATCCATGATTTCAGAGTTAACAAGTCAATTATGCATTTGGTACGATACTTTAGTTAATAAGCTACCAAACAAAGTCAATTAGAACGCGTGATATGAAGGTTTGCTAATGGGTGCAACAAAAGAAGCGCTCCGACCGAATCATGTTTTATTTTCATCCGATAGGCCGAAATGAATTCATTGGCGTTTCAATGCGTTAGGCCGAGTTTAGAATCCGTTGGCCTACACTAATAACATTCTTAACTTAATGTTTATTTTGTCGGTGCACATATTTTTTATATGATATTGCACACTATTAATATGGCGTCAGACAATACGTTTGCCCAAATTGTGCTAAATCGTCTTCATCTTCCAGCAAAACTTGAGCATTCTCAAAGGTAAATAATTATTTATCTTATTCATCTTTAACTATTTACCATAAAACTATTATTTTAGATTGTTTTCAGCGAAAAAAAAAATCACAGAAGCATTAGCCAACAGCTCCCGTGATGAGCTCGGAGAAGCTTTAAAATCAGAGGAAACCGAATGGAATGTCAATGAAATCTTCCGTCGGCTAACTAAATGGCGCAAGGCAAACGTGAGTCCGAGGGGGGCGACTCTATCTACGATGAAGGAAAATTCGTTTTTTGCTGTCGTTAGCTGCGCGCACGCTGAGTAGATAGTAAGGAGATT